TTTTGGTTGCAGCCGTCATTGTTGTTTGGCGGGTCCAGGCTGGGGATTCGAACCTGCCACCTTAGGTGTATGTGGCTGGTGCCTTAGCCAGTTGAGCTATAGGCGCCGAGCCTTCTTTTCTTTTTTGAGACAGTATCTTAAGCTGTCCCCCTGGATAGAGTGCCGTGGCGTCACAGTTTACAGCAATCTCAAACACTTGGGCTCAAGTGATTCTCTTGCCTCAGGCTCCCAAGTAGCTAAGACTACAGGGGCTTGCCATAATGCCTGGCTGTCTTTTTCTTTGTTGCAGTTGTCATTGTTGTTTTAACTGGCCCGGGCTGAGTTCGAACCTGCCAGCCTCAGTGTATGTGCCAGTGCCCTACCCTGATTCCTGGGCACCACCCAGGACAGTGGTTTTCACCTACAGTTGAGGGCACTGCCTACTTTTCTTGATTACCTATTGCTTCTGTTATCCAGGGTAAGGGTGTAGAGAATGGGCAGGTCCCCATTTAGATTCCCCCAGTAGTTGTAATGGGTACCCCCTAAGAAACTCATTTCTGAAAAAGAAGGAGACATCTTTTTTTTTTTTTTTTTAAGAGATAGAGTTTTACTTTGTCGCCCTCGGTAGAGTGCCGTGGCATCACAACTCACAGCAACCTCTAGCTCTCAGGCTTAGGTGATTCTCTTGCCTCAGCCTCCTGAGTAGCTGGGACTGCAGGTGTCCACCACAACGCCCAGCTATATTTTGTTACAATTGGGCCAGGACTGCGTTTGAACCCGCCACCTTTGGTTTATGGGGCCGGTGCCCTACTCAGTGAGCCACAGGCGCCGCCCATCAAAAGCTCTTTTAATTGAATCATGCCCAGCAGAAGGGCATGCCCTCTTCATTATGATTCTTGCTGGGTCTAGTGGCATCTAGAGTTAAAGTTAGAAAAATATTCGCCTGGTGTTTTCTAACTTGTCTGTGATCCCTCCATTGTACTATACCATTTGGTTTTAGGGTGCAGATTAACCCAGCCCTTCCTTCCTTCTTCAGGGGACCGGCAAATGGTATGAGTTACAGGACCTCCAAGTGACTGACATCCTTCCCCAAATGATCACACTCTCGGAGGCTTACATTCAGGTGGGTTGGCCATAAACTCGGTGCGTGCCAGATGGGGAGGTGTGGGGCCAGTGAGGGGAGTAGACTGAGGCAAGAACTGGGATTGATTTAGAAGCTTGAGGGCCAGGTGCCTGTTGGGATGTAGAGAGGTGGGGCCAGATTATATGGCCCTAAAAATCAAGCAGAGATTTTTCAGGAGAAAAGATCAGGGTAGCATGAAAAATTTATGAGTAAGCAAAAATACGGTTGTGTTTATGGCCCACTTACTATATTGCGAGGGTTTGTGGTGTGGTTTTAAGCAAGATGTGCCTGGACTTATCTGGGATGCTGGCTAGAAGTTGTCTTTAACTCTTCCTGATATTCCAGGCAGAGTGACCACTCTTCCTTTGAACACACAGCACTTTCCACATGCCTTTTTTGGGGGCCAGCTGTATTGTTTTGACTATCTTTTCTGTTGGGTTGAAAGCCTGTGGAGCACAGAATATGTTTCTTTTTGAGACAGAGTCCTGCCCTGTCACCCAAGCTGGAGTGCAGTGTTGTATCATAGTTCACTGTAACTTTAAACTCCTGGGTTCAAGCGATCCTCCCTTCTGAGTAGATGGGACTACAAGAAGATAACACCAGACCCAGCTAAATTTTTAATTTTTATAGAGACAGGGGTCTTGCTATGTTTACTAGGCTGGTCTTAAATTCCTGGCCTCAAATGGTCCTCTTGCCATGGCTTCCCAAAGTACTAGGATTACAGGCCTAGTCACTGTGTCCAGCCTGGCTTTTCTTTTTGTAATAGCTCTAGTACCTGGCAAAAGAAGGATGCTTGAGATGAAGAAAAGCCTTTGTACAAGAGAACACTGATACTTCTCTTATAGGTAACGCTTTTTCTCTCCTCAGCAGCTTTGTGTGACATGTGGTCATATGTCTCTTTTTAGAAAGGAAGTTTGGTGTTTTTTTTTTTTTTTT